GGAGGAGACCGAGGAAAGGGCTGCGGGCTGGAGAGGGAGAGACGGAGGGGGTGACAGGGACAAGGCAGGGGGGAAACTGATGTAGGACGTTGCGAAGAGGGGAAGGCACGGTGCGATGCGGTTCGGGCTGGTCACCAGCGGGTGGGATGAAGATGCATTTCGTTGACAGCCACCGGCCGGGATGGGTTAGGAGACTGAGCGCAGATCGAGGAAAAATGGGGCGGAGGGTGCGGTGGTTGAAATAACTACATAGAGAAAACGGACAACAGGCAACCGAGCGAGACAGTCGAAGCACGGAAAAAAAAACGGCCGTAGTATGGATCTAGGGAAAAAAAACAGGGAGACTTTACATACTATATGCATGTATTTAATCTAAAAAATGGAGAAAGGGGCCGGGAGTGGAGGAGATGGAAAGCCGTATATGCATAGCTATGCAGTATGCGACCATTCAGCAGCCTGAGACATACATACATCTTCGGCACAGGCTGCCAAGCTAGGCATGCTCACGCTGAAACCCACGGCCAGCACTTTCCGGCGTGGATGGAAACAGAACAGGGCTGGAGATCCATGAGTCTTCAGAGTGTCCAGTCGACGAGGACCGGGGCCGGGATATCGCGCAGTGAGTACATGGCTCGATCACAGGTTGCAGCGGGAGTCAGCTGAGCACTGCTTCATGGCCATGGCGGGTCCGACCGTCCGAGCCCTCGGTGCAACATGGGCGATCATTACTTATTTATAAAGGAAAGGAATAAATATTAGTATTTATTTATGTAGCAATCCGAGCAATCAGGGACTGAGCTCTCATGTACTGAATCGACTCACCGGCTGCAACGGAACGGAGCAGCCGAGGACAGTATTCGTGTATCATCAGCCTTAAACCCATAGATATTCACGTACAACCATCATCACATCATCATTAAGCATCGTTGCTGTGATGGAGATGCCCCCGTTACACATGATACAACTCATCGCCGCTTCCTATCGGATGACCGGTCTTTCTTGCTACAGCCCATCAATATACACCTTACGACGGGGTTCCAAGACTCGCCATCGGTAACCGTCGGCACTCGCCACGATGCATCATCGCATGTATAATTACTGTATATATCCCTTATGCCGACCGGCATCGATCCACATGGCCATCCCCCTCAGCTGTCAGGCTGGCTGGGTTTGTTGGGGACAAAAGACTATTTAACAGCACTTGATCAGGGCAAGATGATAAAGTTGCAAGTATTTTGGAATAATCAATCAAGTTTAAATCATAAATTATCATTTATTATGTGGTCGTTCAGATCATCATCTGTTGCGGGAGCTTGCGGCTCGTAACCCGGAGCCTTCTAGACCTTTATCCGTAGCAGGGTTCATCTACACACACACACCTCCTCGGCTGTACCGCTACCTTAAATACAATCGATCATCCGACCCGATCAGACCCGATCCCGCAGAACTGCGGCCGTCATGTACTTAGAGAAACTTTGGGGCACGGTCTTGGGCAGACATGCAACAGCAGCCCCCATGGTCGAGCTGTGCTATCATTATGTCCGGTGAATCCTGTCACTGTGGAACTTGGGATAGGCCGTCTCAGGGAGAGATTTCATGATTTGAGGTCGGATCGGTACACAAATCTTTGCAAATAAATAAATAAATAAATATCGACTGGCTTTGAGTTAAGAGCCGAAGTGGTCAGTGCCAGACACGGTACACCTTAAAAATCTCTTAATCTCCCATTACATTATACATATCTTCCTTTACATAGAACTCCTGTCTCATCCGATGTCCATCGACGACCGAGCCAAGGACCAGATGAATGCCTCGGTAAGCCCGGGTATCAGAGCTAATCATTACATGGGAACCATTACAGGCGCCAGCTTGATCAGGTTCAGGTTTGATCGAAGCAATCATCCTGATCGGGATCCCCTCGCTCCCCTCTCCCCTATCGTCTATCTATTTATTGATGGGTTTACATGGCTTTCTATTTTCCATGCAAATTTCAGCCGGATGCGCGAAGAATCACTCCCGATTGGACCAGAATCGTCCAGCTGACTGCTTTGCGCCTGTGCCAGTGGCCGATGAAACTTGAGGAACTCTGTCACACCAGCCGGAGTCACACGGCCCAGGGCGCGTGTTGACAATCAAACCGCGTACAAGACGGAGTACATGACTTGTAGCACCTGCACAGACCCTATTGATACCCCCTCCGCCTCGGCCTGAATCGCAGGAACGACTCGAGAGCCATATGTCCAATGAGCTGATAGCTGAGGATAGCTGCTGATGAGCACCGGTGGGGATGTGGTACCGGTATTGCTGTACGTATGACTGTGCTTCTGCCGATAACGTGGAGGTAAATAGATAGATATTTGCAAATTATAACGTGCTAATCCTTGTCTGCTTTTGTCTACCCAGCCGGGCTGTGTGTGAGCTCCGCTAGAACAAGTGGGGCTCCATACAAATTACAGATACAATCCCTGTGCACATCTACATGCCGAAGACGTAGTCTCGGTACCAATAGCCCGGTCTCGGCTGATGACATGCTAGGACATAGTTTTTACCCCTACTACTTCGGCAGAATGGTAAAACTCACAGGGGAATCTGCCAGTTCCATCAAAAAGCCAATTGGCAACCACGACCGAGGCTGATTTGGAAGCTGAATGGGATGAAAATGTCTCATGCTCTAGTATGATACATGGTCCTATACATTGTTGGTTGATGATTTAACTTTTTATTTTCATTTCTTAGCGGCTGGATTTGTGGTTGTGGCCAGGCAACATCCATAGCCAGTGGTGGTCAGGAATTCAAAACCCAGCAGGCTGATATTGTAACCCTTTCTTCAGAAGAGGAGTATGCTGTAAGGTTGTTGGTGCCACATTTCACAAAGTGTGCACCAATGGGCACCTCCAAACGCTTTAGCAAGTGTGTGCCTTTGGACAAAGGAAAAATTATGTGATTCATGGAAAATTGTGATTTTCCACATTTTTTTTTCAAACTCAATTTTCTTTGTGCCCCCCAAATGTCACATCTCCCACCTCACTCTGCCAAACTACAGGTAACAACCCATTGGCTGTGATGCCCCACTCTACCTAAATTTTAAAAGCATGCAACTTTGCTTGATTGGTTGCACACAGGCAGTCCCCCACATATGTGCCTAACCAAAAACCCAAGATTTTGTTAAAATTACTACATTTATGGAATCCATTCATACAACAGTGGTGCAACCCATCTTTCTGTACATGGTTCTTGGGGTTGTATACTATCATGTTTGGGGAGAAAAAATAGGAAAATATGCCACAGCCAAGGAAAATTTAGGTTTTTGGGCTGGGAAATTTGCAAAACGGTGTGAGTATGGTGTTCAAAGTTGCTATGTGTGTATATTTCATAAACCATGAAATCTTGTTTGGTGGGAAGCCTCCAGTTTATGTAATGTGATTGTCAAGATTCCCTGCAAATAGGGTTTGATTATTTATGAAATATGCATATTTAACTTTGAACACCATAAATTTTTGCCATTTGTATGGAAAACAATTACAGAAATGCTTTGCACACAGGAGAAAACTCTTCATGCACAGAGAATTTTGTATCCTCGATGTTGCAACCCTCCCATGTGCACCTCAAAAGAGTATACTGCCAAACCAAGAAAGCTTGGAGTCCCAGTTGGAGGAATTCCTAAAAAAACCATTGACTGGAGTTGGAAGGTTTGGAAGAATACATTGATGGTTTTTATTTCAAAATGCTTGCCCGCATAATCGATTAGAATAGCCCCATTACATCTGGATATCCATGCGTATAGGGGATATCTGATTGCTTTTT